GAGACAGAAGAAGAAGACAAGTTCAAAGTTTATTATGAAATTTGATCAGAGAATGAGAGGGGACAAGTTTGGAGTTCATCAGGAAATTAAATCAAGAGTCCTCACCATTTACAGAAGGTTATGATTCCTTCTCTAATATTCCATAAAATTTCATAGGTTTTTTAGTAAGAGAAAAAGGAGAAGGAAATTGCCAAATAGAAGAAATCAAGCTGAGTACATCATATAATCTTTCCTACTGTAAGTAAAAAAAAAAATAAAATAAAATAAAACTCACTTCCATTATTTTAAAATAATTTGTACTCAATAAACCACTTGAAATCAAAAGTGCTTTTTCAGGGCTGATTACTTATATCACCAGGAGAATTAAAATGTAAGCCATAACTGAAATGTGATTTTATTACAAGAGATAAAAGTTTGCAACAGAATAATTTAACAAAATGTAGTGATTACAAAACCAAATGTCCTGTTTATAATTCACACCATTAGCTTAATGGTGTGATTCTCAATCTTCAATACAGGCAGATGACTTTTCTCCAAACTAGATATTTTGGTCTAAATTTGCCTTAGCTTCCTACGCTGAGAAAATTTTCTCGAATGGAATCCAAACACATCCAGCCATTGCTTGTAACAGGTATCTATTGTTTTGTCTCCCCAGCACTCTCTATCCATTTTTGGAAAATGACCCACTTCCATTCACTATCCACCCTTATCCTCTTCTATCCATATAATTACTATGCAGGACATGATGCTTGTTTAATGTTTGGTGGATGATCCAACTAACATTGAGTTCCTAAATATTCTCTGTGTCAATGACCCATCTCTCCACTCTACTTTAGGACTCACTCTCTAAAGACCACACCTTACTTGGGAATCACTACTGAAGAATGGTTTACTTCTGTTACAACATGTCATGTGACCACACCCACCAATTCTTTCCTTTTTCTTACTCCCATCTCACCTGTTGAGCCTCATCCAAATCTTCAGGCCCCTGCCCACTCCTCCCAGACTGTTATGGGAAGTCAGGGACCCTGAACAGAGGAACCGGTTGGAGCCGTGGCAGAGGAACATAAATTGTTTTTCATCTTAATACGGACATTTATCATTTCTCAAATAATACTTTTATAATTTCTTATGCCTGTCTTTACTTTAATCTCTTAATCCTGTTATCTTTGTAAGCTGAGGATATACGTCACCTCAGGACCACTGTGATAATTGTGTTAACTGTACAAATTGATTGTAAAACATGTGTGTTTGAACAATATGAAATCAGTGCACTATTGAAAAAGAACAGAATAATAGCGATTTTTATGGAACAAGGGAAGACAACCATAAGGTCTGACTGCCTGCAGGGTTGGCAAAAAGAGCCATATTTTCTTCTTGCAGAGAGTCTATAAATGGATGTGCAAGTAAGAAAAATATCGCTCAATTATTTTCCTAGCAAGGAATATTAATATTAATACCCTGGGAAAACAATGCGTTCCCAGGGGAAGGTCTATAAATGGACGCTCTGGGAATGTCTGTCTTGTGCAGTTGAAATAAGGACTGAGATAAACCCTGGTCTCCTGCAGAACCCTCAGGCTTACTAGGGTTGGGAAAACTCAACCCTGGTAAATTTGTGGTCAGACCAGTTCTCTGCTCTTGAACCCTGTTTTCTGTTAAGATGTTTATCAAGACAATGCACTGCTGAACATAGACCCTTATCAGTGGTTCTGTTTTTGCCCTTTGCCCTGTGATCTTTGTTGGACCTTTATCAGTGGTTCTGCTTTTGCCCTTTGCCATGTGATCTTTGTTAGGCCCTTATCAGTGGTTCTGCTTTTCGTTCTTTGAAGCACGTGATCTTTGTACCTACTATCTGTTCTTACACCCCCTCCCCTTTTGAGACCCTTAATAAAAACTTGCTGGTCTGAGACTCAGGTGGGCATCACAGTCCTACCAATATGTGATGCCACCCCTGGCATCCCAACTGTAAAATTCCTCTCTTTATACTGTCTCTCTTTATTTCTCAGCAGGCCAACACTTATGGAAAATAGAAAGAACCTACTTTAAAATATTGGGGGCGGGTTCCCCCAGTACCAGACCATCATCTCCCTCACCTGTTTTCCACGTCCAACCACAATCCCCTATCAGTCAAATGAATAATGCTTTTCCTGTAACTCTCCATTTATTTTCCATCCTTTGTTTCCAATACAGCAAGCCTGATCAGTCTCCACCCAGATGAATCACGCTCAAATTCTCTTCTGGATGACTGAACTCTCAAAAAGAACACTGCTCAACAATCCAGACTGGTATCATTCAAATTTATAGTGGCTAACAACCCTCATCATAATCAGCAACCCTTTCATTTGTTCTGAGTCAGTTCACTTCCCAACTCCCTAGGGCCACTGTTCCAAACCTTAACCACTTCCTTAAACCGCCTGCATCATCAAGCCCCTCCATCTTTATCATCAGATCTTCTTTTTCACAGTAAAACAGAGGTTAGCAGATTAAAGAGATATCAGGTTATCAGCTTTAATAGACAGAAGAACATTCACCTTCCTGTTCCTCCACCTCAAACATACCTAATGGAGTACCAATCTTTATCTCACTCATGCCTATATTTGAGAAACCAGGGTCTCTCCTCTTTTCCTCTCCAAGCCACCATTTCTACCTGTGTCTTAAGTCTGAGACCACAGAAACCTTCAGAGATGTTGTCTTTCTTCTATATCTTTTTACCTCCACTTTAGCTCCTTCTCCCACGAATATAAGCAGGTCAATTAATCGTATCCCCCAAATAAAACTATCTGCCCCACCAACAACAACAAAATGTTCCCTTGGCCCTTCTTCCATTTTTAGCACTTCTCCATTTCTTTCTTCTAGTTTCTCATCAAATGTCTAGAAACTATGTGCATCTATACATATGTGTGCCTTTTATACATATAAGCAAACACAATAAATATAAAATATGCGCATTTTATATATTTATACAATAGAAACATGGCAATAGTGTAAGGAATAAACAGAGAAAAAAATATATATAATACTATGTGTATGTGTGTGTATGGATATTTATTTATTTATTCCTTAAAACATTGCCATGGTTTCTAATCCAACCTCTAGACCAAAAATACCTTCAGTAAGTCACCTATTTATCTTATCACTGCTAAGTCCAAAGCTCTATCTAAATTTTCTTCCTAATTGACCCAACTACAGCATTCAAAACTACTTTATTTTCCCCCATTGCATACAGAGTGTACATTTATTTGTTTAGTCTTTCTCTCTCCTGTAGAAACTAAGTTTTTAAGAGGGCAAAGACCTTGCCGGCTTGATTCACTGTCTAGAATTGTGTCTGGCATGTTATAAGCGATGAACATTTATTGAATAAATATCACCTACCTCTAGGCAAAAATCGGTTAGTTCAGAGGTGGGAACCACACCCTGAGACAACTTCACACTCTCCACTGAGAGTTTAAACTTGAGACTAGGAAAGTCAACCCAGTCTCTTTAGGTAATAAAAATTCACGTTCAGTGTAAAAGGAGAATAAAGCAGATAATATAGAGAAAGTGAGACAAATAGCATCCTAACAGATTTCAAGCCCTTGGTTTCATTTATCCCAATGTCCCAATGTCCCTGTCACTTCATTCTATCCTTGGTCTCTGAAATATCCTAACATCCTTATAGTAAGTTACCTTTTTAACTTAAACTAATTTAGTCTCTTCTTCTGTCATTATCAAGAGATTCCTTGCTAATATACTATTCTTTGGTTGGATAGGTTCAAAAATAAACATCCTAAAGCCAATGTTCAAAAAAAAAAAGAGAGAGAGAGAGTAAAAGTTTACAGTTCCAACTCCCTGAATGAACAATATGTGTAAAATATATTTAACGAAAATGTGGTGTGATATGGAGTCATTTTCTTTATGATTTATAAACTCTCTGCCACACTTAGGTACTATTTACGGGGGGGGAAGCTATTTTCTTGTTCGTATCGTCTCTAAAAAAGATTACGTATATATCACCATGGAATACTATGCAGTCATAAAAAAGGATGAGTTCATGTCCTTCACAGGGACATGGAAGCAGCTGGAAACGATCACTCTGAGCAAACTATCACAAGGACAGAAAACCAAACACCATATGTTCTCACTCATAGGTGGGAACTGAACAATGAGAACACTCGGACATATGGCGGGGAACATCACACCCCAGGGCCTGTCATGGGGTTGGGGACAGGGAGATGGACAGCATTAGGAGAAATACCTAATGTAAATGTTGAGTCAATGGGTGCAGCAAACCAACATGGCACATGTATACCTATATAACAAATTTGCACGTTGTGCACCTGTACCCTAGAACTTAAAAGTATAATTTAAAAAAATTTAAAATTTTTAAACAAGTTTTCAAAAAAAAAGATTATGTATATATTCATTTTATTCCTAATGCTTTTTTTTTTTTTTCTTTTTTGAGATGGAGTCTCGCTCTGTCACCCAGGCTGCAGTGCAGTGGTGCAATCTTGGCTCACTGCAACCTACGCCTCCCACGTTCAAGCGATCCTCCTACCTCAGCCTCTCAAGTAGCTTGGATTACAAACATGCACCACCACACTGGGCTAATTTTTGTATTTTTAGTAGAGATGAGGTTTCACCATGTTGCCCAGGCTGATCTCGAACTTCTGACCACAAGTGATTCGCCCACCTCGGCCACCCAAATTGGTGGGATTACCAGCGTGAGCCACCACACCTCCCCGAATGCTATTTTTTTGAAATGAAGTTTGGTACTAATTTTACCTCATGCTAATTTTCCTTAGACAGTAGGAAAAGTAAACCATTAACAGAGAGTAGTTGAAAAGTAAACCATTAACCGAGAGCAGTTGAAGAACTCAGTTACAACCACGCATAACAACTTTAAGGCAGGAGGACAAACTAAAATGTCTCCTACACTGGCATTTAGAAACAGTAAAGTTGTATCTTGGAAAATATAAATTAAATAATGAGCAATACTACATTTCATGGGTCATGGTACTTACCAAACAAACGCTGATGGAACAGAAATTTGCCAGCTATTAGTCCTGTGAGAATGGCAAGTAGCCATAGAAGCACCTTCAAAATCCTCCAGCCAACTCCTCTAGGGTATTTATTTGTAACAAATGAAAAACAGTTTCCAACAACAATAACATTGGCTTCTGTTTGGCTATGAGAAACCGGGTCCTCCGCAAATATTAAGAAGTTAAAGAAGATCACCAAGTAAGCCACAATCATGCGAGACCAGGGATGCTGGAAATAATAACGAAAGTCTTTACCCATTCTTCAAAACTCCCAGTTCGTAGTTTACCTGTATAAGAAAAGATAGATAGGGTTAGAGCAGGAAAACAAGTAGTCTCTTCCTTCTTTTTATCAGTTCAGGTTTACAACAGTTCCATAAAAAGGTATTTGGAAAAGATGATACCTGTTCCTACTTATGGCTCCAAGACAAGTCTGAGAATGAGGAAAGCAAATATTGCCCCTTCCCTAACACCTAATCATACCTCTGATCATTTGGAGACTTGGGAAAGAAAAACAATGGAAGAGTAAGGGGAGACGAGGGGATGTGAGAGGGCAGAACACTGTCCAAAATTGGGATGGTGACCAAGATGACATGTAGAGGTCCTCCCAGGGGGAAACACAGAGGTGGCACAACCACGGCTCATTGCAGCCTCCACCTCCTGGGCTCAAGCGATCCTCCCACCTCAGCCTCTCCAGTAGCTGTGACCACACGCATGTCCACCTGGTTAACTTTTGTATTTTCTGTAGAGACAGGGTTTCGCCATGTTGGTCTTGAACTTCTGGGCTCAAATGATCTGCCCACCTAAAGTTCCCAAAGTGCTGGGACTACAGGTGTGAGCCACCATACTTGGCCTCCTGTTTTTGATTATTACAAAATCAAAATGATATAGAGGTAAAATGAGCATATATTAATGAAAGTTAAACAATATTCTCTCCTCTGTCCAAATCCCTCTCCTCAGAGTTATGACTGCTTACGAATTTGCTGTAGTTACTTTCAGATCTTCTTCTAAACACTGACAAATGTATATACATGAATAAACTTTTATTAAAATGTTCACAGTCTAGTTATCAAATAATTTCAATAGAGAGTAAGTTCCATGAAATAGCTAAGTCTACGGAAGAGTAGTAGCCCACAGAAAGGACTGGGCAATCCTTTGCATTGGGTGAATGAGAAGAGGAAGATTTCACAAAAGATATCACCAAGTTTAAGGTTGGAGGATTAGCATAATTTTTTTTTAGTGAAGAAGGGACGGATAGAAGGCAAGCCACTCTAGGCAGTGGCTACGGCACATCCAAAGGCACAGGGCACTGAAAAATATGTAATGTGCCTACAGTAGTGGGTCCTAACCTGAATATGTGCACTGGAAGTACATAGCCATCTTAAAATGAAAATGTTCAGGCCCACCTCCAAAGTCTTGCTCAGCTCCTCCCTCTTCCCTCTTTGGGAACCAGCCTGCCCATAAAGAACACAAGCTGTAACTTCCACATGAAGAGATCTATCTGGGTCCACCAGGGCTTGTAAGTGGATGATTATGTCTATGTAGTTCTGGTGTTTGGTGTTCGTGAGCCCATTTGGCTCTCAGACTAAACTGTGTCTGTTTTTCAGCAACAACACTGATTAAATCTTAGATATCAAAAATAATACAGACAAAAATTTGACTGCCATCTGCCAATTCATTTTTCTTCTCTCCCAATTTGTTTAGAATTCAGAAAGCAAAGAGGGAGAAGAGGGTCATTTACAAAGTCTACAGCAGTTTACATGCCAGGCTCTGTGCTGGATGTCTGCATGTATCACTGTGTCATTTTTGTCATAACAACCCCCTGAAATACTGTTATTATCATTCCTGCCACTTCATTTTACAGGGTGGAAATTGGGGCTGACACAGATTTTCTAACTTGCCCAAAGTCACCTAGCAGGAGAGCTCTGATCTGAGCCTCTGAGGCCGACCCCAGGTGCTGATCACCATTCTCTGCAGACAGCCAGATCAACTCCTTGCACTTTCCTTGCCTAGAGAACAGGCCTAGGTCCCAGTCCCAGGGATGCCATCCCTTGAATGTCTTCTGGAGACATGTTCTCCTCTAGACACAAATATAATAACTCTGTAATATCTACTTCTAACGCATAAAAAAAATTTATATGTGTGTGTGTGTGTGAGAAAGAATCCTTTATAAACTCTGAACACTTGGTGGGGGAGTATCCATTGATAAATACTCTCACTTTATACATGACTGAAATCATAAAGACCATGCCACAAGCCTGAAGTAAGTCAATGGAAGATCTGAGAGCCTCCAAGGCTCCCAAGTCCCAATCCAATATTCTGGGCTGATGAATGCCAATTCAACCCACAATCTTAGTTAATGAGGACTTGTCATGACTATTTTACAAAAGCAATATAAACATGCAAAAGGATTGGCAATAGAATTCAGCCAAGCAAACAGTCACTGTGCCTTGGATTCATAAGCCTTCTAAGCAATTTTAAGTCGCTTGTTATCTCTGTGAACACTCTGAAATCTATCCCCAGGGGCTGTAGCTTGGATCGCCTAGGAATGGTGACTATCTCAAGAGTCTGGTTTTTGTTTTTGTATTTTTCAATATAAGGCTCATCACCTGCTATAGCAGCAGAAACTTAAACGTGTGACTCTCACACCAAAGACAGCAGAGCAAGTAGCAAAGAACAAAAATGAACTTTTACGCATTTTCATGATATTTAATGTGTAAGAATGCCAGAATAGGTTGGTTTTCAACTCAATTTCACACAATACTTTTGGAAGTGTCCAAAGACCACCATTACAAGAAAAATTGATCACTGGTCACCAGTGAGTCATAAAAAAGAAATAGTTCCCATATGCCCATCAGAACTAGAAAGGAGTATTATTTAAGAAGCTGTTATTACAGGTTGCTGTCACTGCTTTTGCCAGTGAAGAACTCTACCACCACCTCCCCTCCCATCATGAACACACACAATTAAGGCAGTAGGAGTTAGAAATACTACTGAAATACCATCATTGTCATTCCTATCACTTCATTTTACAGAGAGGAAATTGAGGCTCACATGGACGCTGTAACTGGTCCAAAGTCACCTCTCAGAAGAGCTGTGATCTCAGCCTCTGAGGCTGACTCCAGGGCCTTATCACCATTTCCTGCAGACAGCCAGATCAACTCCAATACATACACTCTTGATTCTTTTTTTAAATACATGCATTTTGGAGGCTAGCACATACTTATTTTCTTGTTTTTAACTTGAGAATATTGCTCCGTGGGCTGTGTGATGTCCACATGCTCAAGTTAAATTAGAACATTCAAAAAATTTCAGAGACAGCTGTTTCTCTCCAGCATTTATATTATTTAGGGAAAGAGAACTATAGCATTGACCAATACTCCTGCACTAGTACATGATTTTATTTAATTACCGCGGTAATGCCATGAATGCTACTATCACTGCCACATTACAGGAAAGAAAACAAAGGCTCAGAGCAGTTGCTGCCTGTTTAAAATACATAGATACATAGCAAGTGGAAACATCAGGGTTTGAATCCAGACCTACACCTAGCCCTTAATCTTTCTAATATACCACAAAGCTGGAAGTGTTTCTTCCAGTAAGGTATTTCCCATCACGGTTACAGCTTATTCTGTATTTCCACTAACAGTTTCAACTAGCAGAACAAAATAGGACCCCATTATTGATCATTTAAGCTGGCTGGAATTTATTCTTGCCTCATAATTCTGAAGTTGAAGTGATATCTTCTAGAGGGTCCCAAATTTCAAACCCTTACATAATAATTTGAATTAAACCTCTGCTTATCCTCACTTCATGACTTCGTACATAGGCTGCAAATGTTTGCCTAGTCATCTCAGCCCTACTTTCTTGTTCCTTAGGTACCCCAACATTATCCAGAGAACCAAAGCTGTTTTCACCTCTGTAGTGCACATAAAACATCTTTACAATCAGTATGATCATTTGATGTATCTACTGTTAATTTAAATGCAGGCTTGAGGCTGTTCAAATGGACTATGTTATACAGGGCACATAGTCTGCAAAACCTTTCCATTTTTAAATTCATTTCTATAACCACAGATGATAATGAGCTTTTATCTTAGCTTCTGGCTCATTATAGTGAAATTATCTGTGTATGTGTTTGTCTCCCTCACTTGATCATAAGCTCCTCAGAGAAGTGGCTGTTTACTGCCAGGGCACAGCACAATACTGGGCTCATATTGGGTGATCAGTAGGTATCTATTGGATGAGCTGAGTGGTACACTCACAAAGAGAAGCTCTCTCATTATTTAGGTGAGATGAGAAGAGGGTGGAGCAATCTGCCATTCAACTTCCGCTAAGGCAAACAAAGCGAAGAGGAGCAGTGGAGACCAAGGACTACATTGATGACCTGGCCAGTAACAATACTAATGCACCCTCACTCAACTCCCTCTCATTTCAGCACGAGCTGTTAAATTAATATTTCTAAGGCTAACATTTATTGAGCACATCCTATATACCAGACACTATGCTGATGAGCTTTACCAGCATCTCTTAAATTTCATAGCAAACCAATGAAGAAAATATTATTGTCCCCATTTCACAAATATTGAAACTGAGACTTAGAGTTCAGTGCCTTGTAAAAAAATAACAAAATTAATTTATATCAGAGCCACAATTTAAACCCAAGCCACCTGGCTTCAACACTCCATGCAATGCCTCCCACACACAAGGACACAAATTCTAAAATCTTACCCTTTACATTAGTTGAAAGTTTCTGATAATAAAGCCATCTGATATAAAAAAGAAAAATTCACAGTACTTCTATTTTGTGCAGAGGCACAGAAGAAACTGCCTGGGACTGATGTAGAGATGTATCAGTAGTTGTGTGTGGCTAGAACACTGGGTGCTTGGCATTATCCTGTGAGAGTTAAGGATAATTTGGAGCCAATCCAACAAAGATTATCCAAAAGTGTTGGTCCGTATTTTACTGAAAATAGAGAATTATCAAAGGTTTCAGAGCAGAAGAGACAATCATGCATCTGAAAGTGATGATGTACAGATTTGTTAACTCCGTAACAACATTCATTCATTCATTTGTTCAATATTTACCACTTGCCTATTTTTTGCCAGGCGCAGGCCTATGTGCTAGGGTAACTAACAACAAAGACCTGTTGCTTGCATCTGATAGTTTCTTTGAGGGAAACAGATATTAAACAAATAAAAATTAAACACAGTATTCAAGAAAGTTCACAGAGAAAATTAAAGCAAGGAAAAGTTAACAGGGAGTGTCAGGTGTGAGGGAAGTTGAAGACCTCATTATAAGGTGACATCAGAAGACAGGCACAAAAGAAGGGAGAGAAGTCAGCAGCTATCTGGGGAAAGTGTGATCCAGATAGAGGGAACAAAAGTTGGAAAGGCTATTGTTGGGTGCAGGTTTAGAGCAAATTAAGGATCTTCAAGGAGGGCAGTATGACTGGATGGGGAGCAGGTGCAGGGGAGTATGAAAGAGCAGGTGCAGGGGAGTATGAAGGAGGTAGCATCTGATCATGAGCAGGCCTTGAAGCCCTCCTATGTGGGCTTTCACCCTGAGTGGGATAGGAAGCAGAGGAGGGACACAATCTGACTTATATGTCAGAAGGGCCTGTCTGTTTCCTGACTGAAAATATTTTGTAAGAAAGGAGGGCAAGGAACAGAAGCAGGGAAGCTACTGAGGAAGCCGTTGCCAAAGAGATGCAGCAACTTGGACCAAGCAGAGAGAAATTAAGGCAGTTTAAACAACTCTGGTTCTGGACACATCAAAAATAACTACTAAGATTTACTAATACACCGGATGTAGACGTGATCTAGGCAAAATCCAGAATGGAACTACCATTTCCTGAGATGGAAAATGCATTTCCTGAGATGAAGAGGGTTGCAGTAGATGTAGACAGCACTTGTAATTAACACTTTTTAGTGCTTTTAGGGGTTGGGCTCTTGGAAAGCACTTTCCACGTATTTTCTCAATTATTCCTGATACCAGCCATTTGGATTTACCAGTGAAGAAACAGAAATTCAGAGAGGTTATGATCTGTCCAGGATCATAAAGCTACCAGCTGACAGAAACAGGTACGACTACCTCTATATAACCCCAAAGTTATTACTCTTAGTTACCATTGTGTGAAGTATAAAATACAGAATAAAATTTCAATGGGAACGAAGTAAGAGTTAAGTACTAAGTGATGACTTGCACCTAGTAGGCCTTCAATACATATTTGCTGATGGATGAATAAATGAATAAACAGATGTATGGATAACAGAAAACAGACCAGCCTGGGTGAGGGGGAAAAAAAAAAAAAAACTAGAAGACTCCATTCCAGAGAGAGTACAGTCTGGATAATACACATCCAAATCTGCAAAAGGAGAAATGGCAGAAAGGTGAAAAACCAAATATATAGAATGTCCTCAAAGAGCTACAAACTTTCGAAAGCAATCTCAGGCGGCACAACATCATTTCTGTTTTTGTCTATTGGTGGTATGGGGATGTGGGGGTGGGGAGAGGCAGAGCCCACAAGGAGTATGAAAAGTCTTATACTTACTTTCCAACCTATCTGGTCTCACACACACATATGTACACACGCACACAGACCAGTCCTGAGGTAATGACAGGTCTTAGTATATTATCTTCAATTGTTAGATAAAAAGGCAAGAAAAGATTATATATACCATTTTACATAATGCAAGTGCCTAATACAGGTTTAAAAAAAACACACAAATAGCAATAATAACAGAAATAAAGTTAGAACTTCTTACTTTTAGTCTAATACAAAAGACCACGGGGCTTTTAAATAAACAGCAACCTTTTAAGTCAATCAATAAAACCACTATAAGTGGTTCTGATAGATTCCAGGATAGTATTTGTGGTACCTTAGCTAATTTAGAGGTTTACATCTATAAATCACTTCCTAGATTTTCTCTTCACATTGTTTCAACCTTTAAGTGATTTTTCTTCCCTTGTTCCTATCCTGCAGTCCTTGGGTAAACAAATTGCTTAATCAATGCAAGTTTTTAAAACAGCAACTCCAAAAGCAAAATAGGTCTACTGGTCCTCTGAACAGAGACAACTTTCCATTGAAATGGCAAAATACTTACGAGCCCTAGCACATTATAAAGTTAAAAAATAATCACTACTATATCCTTTAAAAATGTTTAGACCTCCTTTTCAGTGATTTGTTTGTAATAAAGAATTGCCAGCTGGGCGCAGTGGCTCACACCTGTAATCACCGCATTTGGGGAGGCCAAGGCGGGCCGATCACGAGGTCAGGAGTTCGAGACCAGGCTGACCAACATGGTGAAACCCCATCTCTACTAAAAATACAAATATTAGCCAGGCGTGGTGGCGTGCGCCTGTAATCCCAGCTACTCAGGAGGCTGAGGCAGGAGAATCCCTTGACTCGGGACGGCGAGGTTGCAGTGAGGTGAGATCACCGCACTGCACTCCAGCCTGGGCGACAGAGCCGGACTCCATGAAAGAAAGAGAAAGAAAGAGAAGAAATTGCCATGGCCATATTCCAAACATAATGCCAAAGGAAAAAAACATTTAATTAATTAAATAGAATTCATGTAAAAAGTGTTTTTAAAGGCAGCTTAAAGAAGCATGGATAAAACTGACAAGAGCCAGTTTGTCATCACAGGGATGAGAGGGAGGGTGGAATAGGAGGGATAAATGCCTGAGACAAAATGTCAAAATCCATAATTACTTTTAAACTACGAAGACTGGGGGGATAAAAGAAAGTATATCCATGGTCAAATGTCAATACTTCACAACAAAAAAAATGAGGTTTACAGGGATTCAACTACTTTTATATTCAATAAATTGGAAGACCTCGTTTCTGAAGCCAAAACAAAAACCCTGTAGCATCCTAGAAGTCTTTCCTTGGATTTCAGACCATACATCATTTATAATTAGGGGGCAATACATATCCTTATATTCAACATACTTTTTCCTCATGTTTTTTTCCTTTTTGGTTCCTGATAAGCATGTGATGTTTACTCCCCTCTCTCTCTCTCACACACACCCACACACACACACACACACACTTCATTGTTTCACAGACGGTAGAATACACTTGTGGGCCTGTGGCATTTTCAAAAATAGGAATAAATAGTTTTATTTAGTCACGATGAAGTTAGCAAACACCCAAACACCCAAGTCTTTGGGTTTTTTTTCCCCAAGAACAACACCTACGAACGGCAACCTGTTAATTTAATTAAGAAAAATAGGGCTTTTACTCAGTCCCTAGGCTAGGAATCGCTGAAGCAAGGAAAGTTCAAGGTCTGCTCTCCCACCGTATCTCTGCACCCTGGAGCCGGGAGTTTGAGGGCTCCCACCAACAGCGTTTCGCCCGGGAGTCTCCACTGCCCTTAGCCAGAGGGCTGGCGCGTCCCCCTCCTTCCTTGACACTTCACCCTGCCTCTTTGGCTGCCATCCCCAGGAAGGCAGGAGCACAGGCGCCGGAGAATTCGGGGGCCGGGCCAGGGTTCCGCGGCTGCTTCCGCACTCGCAGGCAGAGACAAGGAGGCAGCCGGGCTGCGGGCGGCAGGGCCGGGAGGGCTCCGCTGCGGCCGGACCGAGCGGCGGGGGAGGCTCGCCCAACGCCCGGGCCCACGTACTCACCCGAAGGGTCGCGCGGAGCGCGGAGCGCGGGGCGACTACACACGGGAGTCGCGGTCAAGCACAGCCCTCGGCGCGCCGGCGGCCTCGCTGGGAAGCGCGGCGAGACGGGCCGGCGGCGTCGCTGCCGCTGCTGCTGTCACGAAGCTATAAATACCGGCTCGGCCCACACCCGCCGCCGCCTACGCCGGGCGCCCTCCGCGCCGGTGCTTCACCGCGCCGCGCTCCCGCCGCAAAGTCCGCGGGCGCGGGCCGGGCAACGCGAGCGCAAGGGCACCGGCGCTGCGCAGGTGACCGCGATCATGCCAGCTGTGTGCAACCTCTGCAGCTGGAGGCATGGCCTTTCCCAGCCCCCGCCCTCCTGCCCGCACCACGGGCTGACTCCAGCCCGCGGGCCGCGTGCGCCACGGGCCGAGCCTGCCCGGGCCGGCCCACCTCTGCAGCGCTGCAGCTGCAGGAGGGGGACGATTCAGGAACCTGGTGGGGGTTGGGGGGCGGCTGACAGAAAATCAACCATCCTGCAGGGAACCAATGAGGGTCCCACTGGAATGTCCTCGAAGAGCTACAAACTTTCGAAAGCAATCTCAGGTCACAAAACATGATTTCCGTTTTTGTCTGTTGGAAGTGTGGGGATGTGGGGGTGGGGAGAGGCAGAGCCCATGAGTAGTATGAGAAGTCTTCTACTTACTTTCCAACCTGCCTAGTCTCACACACACATTTGTGTACACATACATTCATACACACATAGAGATGCACAAATACACTCATGCATACATATGTATACACACATAAGCACAAGTACACACATGCATACACACATGTATACCTCAGCACACATACTCATGCACAATTTTTAAACTTTTTGCAGTCTGAGGCTCTCAGAAGGCTGTCATTCTATGGTACCTAAATGATACCGCTGCGGCATAGGGCAGGAAGACCCTTTGACTACATTTGACCAATTCCTGTCTTCCTGAGTGTAACCTCCTTTCCATCATATATGTGTGGCCTCTGTTTCCTTCCACACCTAATAGCAGCTGCTACCTCAGTTTACCAGTTGCTGAAAATGTGTTAACAACTGCTATCCAGCATGCTAATATTTCTTGGTAATGGAAGTTATCACTAGTGTATATAATCAAATGGAAAATAGGATAATTTCTATATGCCCATATTAGCAAACTTATGAAGGAAGAGGTAGGCCTTCTCCTGGACTGGTAGCCTGATTCAGGAATGGGTTGGATGGCAAGAGGGAGAACTGAGGTGTCAGCAGATTTTAAGATGGGATGGAGAGAACCATGCCCAAGTGCCACAGGGTAGCTTATCTGCACAGGGATAATTGGGAATTCACTGCCATAATTCCCACTAATTTGACATTTTTCTAGCTTCCAAGAATGACCATATATATATGGTTTTATATATGTGTGTATATATACACCTCTCATGTATATCAGAGTGAACTCAATCCACTCCATAATCAATTGAACTACATGGGTGTCTACTAAAATGAACTTCAGTTCACCAGAACCGAAATGTCATTCAGCAGCTTGTCTTCTGTCTCCTTAAGAAATGGAATCCCCACATCCCCACACCACTATCTATATAGTAGTCAATCATTTGTGGTCATTTTACGGAACTCTTAACTCGTAAGATTCTCTTTTGTAATGCTTTAACAAGTTTTGCCAGAAAGAGTTGTTGCCTATGCAGCATTTTGTACATTTTACTATTACACTTTTGTTGTTCTTTTTTGCAACTTCTTTTTTCCCCCACTACGCTATGAACTCTTCAAGGGCAGAGACTAAATGTTACTCATCATTGTACCCTTAGTACCTAACATTGTAAGTTATAGTAATGGCTCATAGATACTGGATTAATTCCACATATTAGTCATTATATTCCACTGTGCTTTTATAACTGTAATTAATAGTATTCTCTAAAGAATTTTTAAACTGTTACACGTGGGGAACTATTTAACAAGGGTTCCATATGCTATATTTTCCTTGGATCTCCATTTAAAGCAAGGACTCTTCAGTCAGTTAAAACTGAAAAATAGTAAAACTTCACAAATTACACAGAATACTGAGGTCTGTAATTTACTTCTTTTATTATTACTATTTTTTTTTTGAGACATAGTCTTACTCTGTCCCCCAGACTGCAGTGCAGTGGCATAATTATAGCTTACTGCAGCCTGGACCTGCTGGGCTCAAGTGATCCTACCACCTCAGCCTCCAGAGTAGCTGGAACGACAGGCACACACCACCACACCTGGCTAATTTTTGTATTTTTTGTAGAGACAAGGTTTTGCCACATTGTCCAGGCTGGTCTCAAACTCCTGAGCTCAAGTGATCTGCCCACCTCATCCTCTCAAAGTGCTGAGGATACAGGTGTAAGCCACCGTGCCCAGCCTTTTTTTTTTTTTTTTTTTTTTTAAGAGACAGAGTCTTGCTCTGTCTGTCACCCAGGCTGGCGCGCAGTGGTGCAATCATAGCTCGTTGCAACTTCAAACTCCTGGGCTCAAGCAATCCTGCTGACTCACCCTCCCAAGTAGCTGGGATCACAGGTGCACACCACCACACTTAGCTAATTTTTTAAATTCTGTAGAGACAGGGTCTACATTGCCCACCTGATTGTGAACTCCTGGCCTCAACCCATCCTTCAGCCTCGGCCTCCCTAAGTGCTGGGATTTTAGGGTGAGCCAGAGCACCCAGTTGAGGTGTGTAATTTATAACCCCCGTCACCTCCAGACAAAACAAAATAAAGGAAAATAGGAGGCACTTTCCCTTTCATTGAGAAAGAGACTGAAAAAAACATTGTATTTCAGGGGATAGTGGGGTAAAAATCATTCAGTAGCTTGTCGTCTGTCTCCTTAAGAAATAGAACTCAATCCACTCCATAATCAATTGAAGTACATGGGTGTCTACTAAAATGAACTTCAGTTCATCAGAACCGAAATGTCTGGCATCACTCACATGGAACTTGTTAGCCTACCTTTAGACCTTTAGATCTCTCTTCATATAATAATAATTTTAAGAATAAGCTCTACCAGTGCTTACTATTTATTGTCGAGAAGCCTCAGGACTTAGAGAATATAGTTCTCCAGGACCGCTTCAAGGCAAAATACTGAAATGGGCAAGGCTTGTTTTCAGCATCAGTGTTCCCTTTTTACCACTGACCAAGAAGCCTGTGCCCTTTGGCTTGGTAGCCAGCCATGATCTCTAGCTCAGCCCTGTTTCAGAACCGGGCAGAGGAATAGCCTCTCAGCTTGGTCACAATAACAATTAGTGACAAAAGTTCAACTTATTGAAGGCTTATTGTATACCAAGCTCATTGCATGTATTAAAGCCATGTGAGATAGCTGCTAAACACGGAGTATCCCTCTCTACATTTACCTTTGAGGAGACAGGCATACCAAGATTGAGTAGTTCATTCAAGATATCACAAGTAGCATAGTGGTAGAGTAAGGATCAGAAGCCAGGCAATGTGGCTTGTCAGCCCACGTTTTAACCTCTCATCTTATATAATACTGCTTCTCCATATAAGAGGAAAGAGATGTGGGTTTTCTAATTAGGAGACCTGACATAATGAATGTTGGTATACATTCTGGCTCCACCGCTTACTAGCTATAAACTTATACAAATTGCCACTAAAAAATTACAATAGGAATCCCCAGATCTTCCTTCTTCACCGCTGAAGTGGTGAGATGTTAGATCTGGATGTGGACTTACGAGCTCAAAGTAGGTCACTGAAATCTGTTCACAGACAGATCCCACTCAGGATTTCAGCTACTGTTCTCCCTATTCTTCAGTCTCTCTCCATACTAATCACTACCACACAGACCTATTAGGGACTTTAAATGACCCAATGTCTATAAAACACCTGTAGTGTCTGCCATGCAATAGGTAGTCAGTAAAGGCCATTCTTCTTTCCCATCAAACGTTACCGTTCTATGAAAACTTTCCTCTAGGTCAAAAATCAATTGGCCCAGTAGCCAGATGGTGATTGCTTACTCACACAGAGTTAACCACTTCTTCAGTGTTGGTCAGCAGTGATTTTCAAAGGGTATAGATAGAAGTTCCAAAAAGAAACCAAGATAGTAGGGCATAAATCTCCCACTCCCTCATCCATATTTTAGCCCAAACAACTCCATTTCTTTTATATGCAGGAGTTTAGCCAATGGGCCACAGTTTCAGACTGTCAGGGTAACAATAGAAATAGTTTTTGAAAACTCTCAGATCACACTAGTCAGTGACCTGCCTACTCACCTCCACATCTGAAGTCAATCCTGTGAATAGGCTTAAAATGTGTGTTGTTTACATACCATTCCTTTGTAAAATCTGATCCAAGAGTTAAAAAATCAGAAGCAAGGCCAGGCGCAGTGGCTCACGCCTGTAATGCCAGCACTTTGAAAAGCTGAGGTGGGCAGATCACAAGGCCAGGAGTTCGAGACCCATCTGGCCAATATGGTGAAACCCCATCTCTACTGAAAATACAAAAATTAGCCAGACGTGGTGGTGCACGCCTATAGTCCCAGCTACTTGAGAGGCTGAGGCAGAAAAATCACTTGAACCCGGGAGGCAGAGGTTGCAGTGAACCAAGATTGCGCCACTGCACTCCAGCCTGGGTGACAGAGTGAGACTCAGTCTCAAAAAAAACAAGAAAGAATCAGAAGTAACCACATGAGGCATGATATTTTTCCGTTCACCTCACATGTCCCAGTACCTCAATAATACAGTTTACTCTTGATTTAAAAAAAAAAAAGAAAAAGACAAGATCAATGCTCAATGTACATTTCAAAAATTGATGAGCGCTTTCATTATGAACCAATTTATCCTCTCTAAATGGCATTTTGAAAGCCAGGGGAAAGTATAGGTGTAATGATCAGTAACCTCTACCAAGTCAATTGGGAAATGTTTTTGTCAGTGATTAGATGGACTCTAAGCAAAACTTTTTAACTTCCAATAGGTCAGTCGGGATGATGCTAATTACATGCTCTGAATATAAGCAGCGTAATTTCCTTGTTGCCAAAGAGGTAAGAATAGAAATTTGCCCACCAAACGCAGACAAATTATGATCCATAATTTTCTTTGGTATTTAAAGGGCAGTGACTCTACTGCTAGGATTTTCCTCAGCAATCCTAATTTCAAGTGTTCATTCCCATTAAGCCCAATACATGCTGATATATTTTAAGCCCCATATCCTGAATTTTGCTTGTGAAAAGATGGCCATCACATGTCTGCTGCTTGGAATACTAGAACCTGTGCTCTGAAATCCTCATGATGATGCCAACTAGTTGTCATATGATATCAAGCAAATTAAGCTTTCTGTACTTTAGAAGTAGCTGCTTTGCATGTCTTAGAGGGATTAAAAATGAATGTTACACTTTTAGCATTTGGTGTGGTACATATTAAA